TTTTACATAAATGGGACTTGCTTTACATACATTGTGGATTCCTCACTCCACTCCGGGTTTCCCTCTGGGTCTTTGACTACAGCTGTTCTATACTTTTTTGAACCCACTCCAAATATTACTGAGAATTTACATTTTCCTGAAAAGTTCAATAATTGCTGAAACATTTTTCTAAATAATGGCAAAATTAACAAAGTGTGCTTTAAATTCCAAAAAATTTATCATCTATTTCTATTTTCTTCCTTAATTTAAAATATATGAACAGATTTCAAGTAAATTTCACTCATATAGTATAAAGTACACCAATCAATTCTTGCAGAGGAAAAAAAAGAATCTGTGGATGTTAGCAAAAAAATTCTCAATGCTTACCTGGTCTCTTGCTCTGCAAACCTTTGGCATTAAGAACTGTAATAAAAACAGAACAACTGTGTACAGGTCTAGTCCTCATTTCACTGAACAAACCATCAGCTAGTGTTCACAAAAAACAGGTCTTGGCATAAGGCATGGCCTTTATAAGACTGATGTGGGGGGTCTAGAGGACATTCTGGTCGGGTTTGGAAAGGTTACAAAAATTAGCCTCCTAACAAAAAACCTGCTGAACAGGCTCGTTATAATTGTCCAATTAATTTCCTGTTATTCTGTTACAGTATTTGTAGGTTTAACATCCTGAAGAAATCGTAAACTATGTCCAATAAGAATTAAGGGAGTGGTCAATCAATTATTCACATTCCGTTGTACTAAAGACATTTACGATTAATTAACTCATAAACGTCATTAATAATTATAACTCTGTCAAAGGTATTTACTGAAATTCCACTGTTGTTTTCAAAGTGACCATGCACCAGTATTAAAGCTTAGCAATTCTAATAAAATCTGTTGATGTCCTAAAAAAAATTAGATTTATTTGGTATTTGCTGTCAATGTTTTTGTTTAATTCTTCCTATTTTAAGCTAGCTTACTGACGAGATCATTGATCAAAATATATTAATAAACAACTGTTTCTTTTCTACATAAGTATTTCTCAAGAATTCTGTGATTTAATATTTATCATGATTATATACTGTAAAATCACATATTTTTGACGGGTCGGATTTTTGTGATTTGAGGACAATGTATTGGTTCATGCAGATTTGATTTCATTGTTGAAGAATTGTTCAATGATAATATAAGTGAAAAATCCCATTTTGTGCCCCGTGGATATAAATTCGGTTATTTTGGTATTCTCTTTGTTATATTTAATATCATATCTTAACTTAAAATATATTTTGCAAAGAAAATAAATTCAAAGAATCTCCAACATAATGTCTAACTTTACTTTAAAAGAAGATAATCCGCCCTAAGTATGCGATATGAATCATTTCCACAAAGAAATTAGAGAATAAACAAGTTTCATTTTCAATTCGTTCAAATTTTTGCAGACATTTGATACGATTCTAGTCTTTCTAGATAATTTTAATCACTGTACAGGGGGCCCTTATGAAAATTAGTGATTTAACCTGTATATGTAAAAAATGCATTTTGTGGTTGAAAAAGCTTTTTGTTTAAATCCCCAGCCGTGAAAATAAGTGATTTAAGGAAGCTCTAAACACTAACAGAAACTGTTTTTTGGTCTCAAATAAAAATATATCATATAAAGATATGCATATTGAGACCTTCTCATTCATTTAGAACATAGGGTACGTGCCTTATTTGCGCAGGAAAAATGTTCAAAGACAATGGACTATTTGTGAGCAGAAATCACTGTTGTTTACTTACATTGGGAAAATTAATGAAAATAATTAATTAAATTTCTTACTCTTGGTCTTATATAATGCTAAACATATTTTTATCTATAATAAATTATGTAATTAACGGTAAAAAACAATTGCTATAATCTTACATCTAAGGGCAGATCACTCGAACTGCATAAAACTACGCAATTAATAGAGCTCTTTAGTGTGCAGTGTTTAGAGCGTCCTTAACAGCATTGTAAATCATAAAAAGCTTTTTGATGTATGAAGAAGAAACTTGCAATACATATGTATTTTATTGTATAAATTATATATCTAATATACATCTTTGTTTTGCACCCAGAGTGTTATGAACATAGAGGGTAATTTAAATGATTAAATTTTCAAATTGGCTAAAACAAAAAATTCAAAGGGCATAGAACTCTTGATTATCTTCTCTTGGAAAGGACATTATGTCTTTTTATTATAAGATTAACAAATAATTCACATTGCCTGGTACTGAAATTCCATTGAAGTTTTTCCAGTAATTCAGCGAGTTAGTTGAAATGTGAAAAGTTAAAAAATCAGGTGAGGTCAAAGGCCATTGTCCATATTTATCATTTTCAGTTTTCTTGTCAGTTGCTAATCTTGCTCTCTTTAGGCAAATTGTGTTTCAATGTGATAAAACTAGTTTCAAAATTTTCTACAGATAAAAATTTATCACTGTGGAGCACATGCATACATCTGTATATATCCCCAGGCTCTGTATGGTAAATAAAACTGAGGTTTGACACGTAACAAGTTGTTAGTGAGTGTATATGATACATTGTATTTCATGTTCTCATCATAAAATAATGTCTGTCCATGTTTACAGATTCCTTAATAGAATATGCAACATGATAAACCAATGGCCTTCAAATGGAACAGGGAAATAAAATCATTATATTTTTAAATCAAGTGAAAATTATTCAAAAATTCAATGTGTTTTAAAATTTTCAATAATTACAAAAATTCAATGTGTTTAAAAAAAACAATGTAATTTTTGAAAATTTTAAAACTTTATTTAAAGAAAATATTTATACCATTTATTTTGGCAAGTTTTTTGTTTTTTTTTAAAAACAATGCATGTGTTGCAATTATGCCTATATTGAGGGAATATGTACATTTAGTTCAAATAGTGAAAAAGAAATTATGCATCATATAAACAGAATTTTTAACATAAATGTCTCATTTGTAATTTATTCTGCATAAAAAAGGCTCACTGACTCTTACAATGTTAAAACTTTGTGATGTTAAATCCACTTAATTACAGGTGTGTCTGGTCCCTGGTACCTGTACTTACCTATGACTGTGATCTCTGCAGCCTCATTCATTCTCCCTAGATACACAGGTATCAAACAGTCATACTAATCCTCAGTCAATCATACTAGTGGGTCCTGGCTCTGTACACCTGTACAGTACAGTTAAATAACAGTCCATCAAAAGTTACAAATAATAAGTACTTCCTTCACTTAATCATTAAAGTTACTTATATCCAGAATTATTCACTTGTCTAAGGTAATTTTTTCTCTATTCACACAAGTCTTCCTTGACTGTTAATGACAGAAACTACCTGTATATAATAAGGTAGGTATTTATCTATAGACACCAGAAAAGTGGATTATTCTAACTTCCTGAAAGAGGATATTCACAAACAGAGTACATGTACATATATTTATATTGAACATCTTATACTTCCCCGAAAAAATCCCCTATAATGCTAAATTAACAGTCCATAGAAGATAAGATCAAATGACAGGTCACAAAATGTAAACACCGACTAAGTAAAAGATATACACACACACTCTACACTCTTTTTAAAATGTAAATGTTTTACAGAACCTCAAACAGAAATATCAGACTGTAAGAAGTCTCGCAGCCAGTTCTACCAAACAGTCAAACTACAGACAAACGTCAGTATATTGATGGCACAGGTTATGATAAAAAACATGATGATTTGACAGCTTGGTCAATCCCGTATCAGTGTCCACACTTCTAGTCTTTGGTTTTCATGGTGTCTGGGTTATAGAACTGACAAATTGCCCTATATGTACGCCCCCTAGTCATTTTATACCTAAGTCATAATTAATGATAGGTAAAGTTATGTTCTATCGTCGATTACATAGACAACATTACGTAGTCCGGGATTTAAGTTTGTCCTTCACTCCCTCTATTAATTTGTCCAGTAATACCCACAATTCACATCTTACTTTACCTGTGTTTACCTTGGTGTATTTTTCACATGTGTAACACTTACCTGGAGAAAGATGTGTAACACTTGCAGGTAAAAGAGTAACCCAACCATGTTAAGGTTAAAATACTTGTATTTGCTTTATGAATTATTCACAAGGGGCGAATCAGTCTTTGTCTTAAGATCTTCTAACAGCAATAAAGCCATTTACAGTCATCACTATAAACTTATTCATTCAAAAGACAAAAGGACAGTTTTATAATTATCCTTTTTACAAATCTACATTCATATATCAATAATCATAAAAGTATGCAGCATGTAAATTTTACATTTATTTTACTAAGCTGACATAAAATTTTACAATAAAAGGGACTTAAAGTTTAGCAACTGTAACCATTTATTAAAATGGTACATACACAAATTAGAAAATAAATGCCTCACCCAGGGTTAAATATAACTAATGCAACAAGAAAAGAAATATACCTTGATTCTTAATTTAAAATTAGAGTAAATGAGGAATAAAAAGGTCAAGGTCACAAGGAGGGTTAAGGTTGAAAAATTATGACAGTTTTTAGCTCTCACCCATTTTTATTTGTGTATGAAGTTTGATGAAAATATCTTAGTTTCCCCAATATGTATTAGTATATGTGTTTAGATGAAAATGTTTTGAATACCCCGGTACAATGTAGTTCCTGAAACTGTGTTTTATACAGAATAAAATAGTATGGTCAAGGTCATTGGATTGAAGACCAGTGTATAAATATTTTGATGCATTTGAACGATAATCAGCATATCACATTTCATAAGAATATTTTAAATAGTTTCTTTAAAACTGATCTAGATGCAAAGTGTGATGGAAGGCCAGACAGCAGGATGGAAAGATCAGAGAATTGAAGAGAACATGACAAACACTAAACGCCCCAGCCATTTGGACCTAAAAATGGTATATATATGTATAAACAAGTCTCTGCCATTGTAATTCAGAATGATGCTCCCTTCCAGTAGCCCCTGTATTCCAGTGGTACACATAAGCACCAGGTCTCCTGACTTTGTCAGTTTGTGGGAGGATTCTATTTCTTACGTCAATACATGGACAAAAATAAATGACATAGCGACAAACCTCCCTTTGTACAATCTGCAATAAATGACACAACAATAGACTATTTCCAACTTCAAAGATGTAAACTTATCCAATGTGGACACTGAACATGTCCCAAGAAGTTACCAATTACATATCAACCACTGGTACTTTGGGAGATCAATACTGCTCTCACAGTCACTCCTGAGGTACCTCTGCATAAAAAATCCAGAATCGTTACATGGAGGAAAACATGCACACAAAATTTTATATTCAACACATGTCTTATATACACAGACATACATAGCATGTGTATAAAGTTTTGCTAATTAATCACTACACATGACAAACCACAAACATTTTCCTTCATGAATTTTAAATGTTAAATTGTTTTTGTTATGAATCCCATCAAGCTTACTACCTAACTTTCATCTTTTGTTGTCAAAAATCCACATTCTATCTCCTAATATTGTGTAGCATCAGTTTAATGTAAATATTTAACTTTTTTTGTTATTGTTGTTTTTTAAAATTGTTTTTTAACTTTTTTACCACGAAAGTACGAATTAATGTATTATAGAACTCATTTTGGTACAAAAAAGGAAGACAAATTAACTCTTAATTTTAATTCAGAGTAATTTGCTATAAAAATTGCCAAAAATCTAGAAATATTATTCTTTTTCACATGAAACAAATTTATCAACATAGAGTTTGCTCACATATTGATAATACAGTACTGTACAAATTACTGATATACTGAATGCATTATGACAATATCACATGTCCTGTTTACAATGGAATCATCGTGAGACACAAATGGAGATGCTTGTTTTGACAAATATGTGTGATGTGCACCAACCTGTACATTTCTAACAAATGAACAGGTTATAAAAATTATATACATCCCTGATAGAACTATAAAAGCAGTCATGAATTTGTTTGAACTCATTTGAAAAATACCCACTTCTACCATATTAAAGTCATGCGCGGATCTAGAGGGGGGGTCGGGGGGGTCAGGACCCCCCCCTTAAATTTACCAGGTTAAAAAATGTATATACTAAAACAAGAAAAAAGTTACTATGGACCCCCCCAATGGAAAACGCTTTGACCCCCCTTATATAAACAAATGTGTGAAATGGGTATGAATAGTGAAAGATTTGAGGCACACAAAGTCACCACTACCTCCCCCCCCCCCCCCCCCCAAAAAAAATAGGTTTTTGACGTTTGGGCGAGTTTAGGTTTTTTTTTTTTTTTTTTTTTTTTTGCTTGTCAAGAAATTTGTGGGATTTACATTCTTTTGTTCTCACTCTGGACCACCCCTGGAAAAAATTTCTGTATCCGCGCCTGAAAGTAACGTGTGTGAAAGGACTGGCAACTATATATATATATATATATATATATATATTTTTTTTGTATTCTGATAGTAAGTCAGCTCAGGGTTCTGTAAGACGGGGAGCCGATGGATACATTTATTAATAACCAAATCACTCAAACTTGACAATGTTCTATGCAAAATTTTACTTATTTTCTATCCACTTGCATTTCTTGTAAATATCTATTGCAGACTATCATATTCTTTTTTACTTTGGATGTTAATTGTTATCATTTTAATAAACCAGGATCAATTTTCTTTTTGAAAATTTAGGAAACAAATGTGACCTAGCTGCAATAATGTAGCCCTCTCCGTTTTTTTTTTTTTTTTTTTTTTTTGGGGAGAGGGCTACAACTCCTTAGGATCTCCATAATGGCGCAGAGCAGGAGCAATTTGTTTGAACTCCCGCACGGATTTCAGCTCAAATTGTCTGTAAACGGCTATTTTATTTATATGTCTTACCCGAACTTCCAAATTGTAGTTATCTCAGACATAAATCGGTCCAAAAATATACAGAACAATCCATATATCAGTATTTTTCGTGTATGTCAACATCACAACTTAAATTTATCCGCCATGTTTACTGACCTTGACAGATTATATTTTGGGACAGCCAATGAGATTAAGGATCTATATATTTTCTTTTTGAGGGAGCGGATTTCTTTATAATATACCTTATATTTAAGTCTAAATATCACTGTTTACGAAATTTTACGACACATGGAATAGCTTTATTCATCGATGCTTAGTGTTACTATTCATCACTATTATTTAGAAACATCGACATTTGCTTTATTGAGTTATTCGAAATTTCAAGCGCAAGTCTCACTACGTCACGCGTGAACTGTCATGGCTGCTGAAAAAGCGAGAAGAAATCATACAGATTTATTTTACATGGTTTTTGCGTTTAACGAGCTATGATGTCGACAGTGAATAAAAATTTCGTCTTATTAGAAGTAAGTTGAATGTAAAAACAATTTATTCGGCCTGCAGTCGCTCGTATTTAAAAAATATTTTTGCACCATTACGGAGATGCTATGGAATTGTAGCCCTCTCCAGAAAACATCAGATAAAAAAAATCGGAGAGGGCTACATTATTGCAGCTAAAATGTGACCATATTATATATATTAATATATTTTCATCTAGGAATAAATTCTTTTATCAAATTTTACTGGATGGTAGCCTGACAACTCTGCATTTTCCCATAATAAACTTGTTGGAGGTTACTTTCTACATCTTTTAAAGCTTAAGTTTGAGGTATCCATTATTTTACTTAATAACACCAGTGTAACCAGAATGGTTCATTACAGGTTTTGATTAAATATAACTCTACTGAGGATGCTTCACGGTATATTTACAAGGTCTGTAAAGTATGTATGTGCATTAATCACATCTGAAATGATTCAGTACTGTCATGTAGAGTCAGTGGACATGCCATTAGTGGATTAATCAGCCAACACACAGAAACAACATACCAGTAGTTACTGTATCTGTGGTTATTGATCTCTTGACTTGACCTTTCAGTACATTACAGTTACATTGAACTCATTTCTACTCATCACTACAATCTCTGACCTATTTCACTAAAGGTATGACCCAGGGACCTACATTTATTATACACCCCACTGAGTATCACTTAATTTTACTGTAGTTTTATGTAATCATGTGGCCTCGTGATCCAACTTTCGTCGTAATCAGCCAACACACAGATACAACACATACCAGTAGTTACTATATCTGTGGTTATTGATCTCTTGACTTGAACTTTCAGTACATAACAGTTACATTGAACTCTTTTCTTCTCATCGTTACAATCTCTGACCTATTTCACTAAAGGTCTGACCCGGGACCTACATTTATTATACACCCCACTGAGTATCACTTAATTTTACTGTAGTTTTATGTAATCATGTGGCGTCGTGATCCAACTTTCCGGATCACCATACTGTGTTTTCTGAATCCATATCACCACTCTCTGAAACTGATGATGTAGTACACAGAAATATGACTATATTTTTCTTGCGCATCAAAAAGTTCCTTGGAATTATGCTTTGTTTAATAGATAAATATTATATCATTGATCTCAAGTTCTTTTTACTTTATTTTGCTAGTTATATTAAGGCGGTATATAGTAAATTTATCATTATAACAGAAACTTGATCTGAAGAGCCTTATCAAGTCTTGTTGACAGGCCCGGATCATCAGATCAAACTTGATGCTTTGTGTCTCATTTGATCTGATGATCTGCGCCTGTCAAAACGACTTGGACTGATACAACCCTTTGGATTATATTACTGTTATAATACTATATATGTACATACTATTAGTATATGGGTCCCTGTTCTGACCAATCAGCTGGTTTGACCTGCAAAACAGCATTTTATACAAGATACACATACGACTGAGTTTGCCTATTTTTACTGTTAATAGAGTGGGGGGGGGGTGTTGGATATGTATGGCATTTTCAAATTAATGAAATCTCTCAGTTATTGGAGTTTCACAAGCCAATATAAGATAATTCAAGAAATGTCAAAATTATATGTCTCAAGTAAGAATCA